ACTGAGAGTGAATTTCATGTGTAATTCATTACTTCTATCATGCTTTACCCATTTTTTTGAAGATCAGAAAACACTGGAAAAGTTATTTATATCGGTCGAATCAGCAAGCTTAATATGAACGATAATCCATGTAACAACACAATACACGCTCTCATTAGTCAACAGACTAGTTGAACAGTGGGTTAACATAAGCAAAAACCGATCGATTACGTTCGAGCAAATATGAGAATTAATAACAGGATATTTTTATTCAGTCCGTATTGACAATGTATAATTATTGTCTAGTATTGTATTAGAACCTTTATCTTAGCTAATATAATGATAGACCTAATCCCGAAATTGTAGATTTGATGTCACCGCGTTTGATCGTTAGAAACTGAGGGGACAGGATTGAGGCTATCCAGACCCTGATCTGCGTACTCCTTCACATAAGATAATGTGAGAGTGGACTCGGATCTCTGAGGTGACAGATGAAAAGCTCATTCAAACACAGCTAGGTGTCTGTTGACTCTGGTTAGCAGTCCAAAATGATGAACACTGAAACCGCGATACCGCTAATGGAGCACGCTATACAGGCAAAAAGGACTGTTCATTGGTTAAATGAGGGATAACATGGATAGAAATAACATCCTACATGACCTACAACAACTGTCCACGAAAATCATACCCATATCGTTCAATAGGACGGAAAAGCTGGACGACATGCAAGGACCATAAGATACTTGCTTGTGTAACATTCCTCGTTTTCACCAAAGCTTTTGTCAGAGAACTCCATGCACTTCGTATAAGGAAACTGACATAAATGGATTTGGCTGACCCACTTTTATCCTGGCTTTAAAACTATCAAGAGAACAGGATGCTTTTTTGTACCAAGGTGAATAGGGAGTATGGATATTGGGAAGTCTCAGCGTCAGAGATTTTACAAGGAACCCTCGTAGGTCCACCACTATTCTTGATCTTAATTAACGAACTGTTATGTTAAATTCACTCGGTGGCACTGATCTACTCAGACGACGTAAAGATCTAAAGTTACCTATAAAGCAAAGAGGACTCATTTTAGCTTGAAAACAACCTTAGAGCAGTGAAGGAAAAAGCAGTAGATAATCAGTTAAAACCTAACCTGATGAAATGTTAAATCATGTACATTTTGTCTCGTTTGATACAAGACGCCTACAACCCCCCTTCGCTCCCGATCATTTCTTCAGAGATCCTTCATAGGCTCAAACTAAATGAAGGATGCAGACAAGACAAACGTAACTCTCCAATATATGCGTAAATGACTTGGCGCAATCACCTCAAAGTTGCTCACGACCCAACCTCGAAGCTCACAATACCATTACGACTCTTTTCTTCATGACTGACATATATCTCTTGAATCAATTACAGAGATCGATGGTATGTTACAAAATATAAGAGCAGATTTCAGTGCAATGGCTTATTCTGTTTGGGCTACGGGAGAATAAGAGTCGGTTTGATAATGGTGCACATGAAGTATGCCTAGACACACCAACCCGAGAATACTATGATAACATAACCGCCGTACTCCGTGAAGCGATCCTAGAAAGACTGCAAATGAAAGGACAAAAAACGACACGATCCCACTTTTCTCATTAGAAGTGACTACAACCCCATTAGTGGGTAGCTGTAAGAGATTTTACAAACACATAACTAATCAAGGACAACCATTTGCTTTTGGACTAGCTCTCCGATGCTTATACAAAAGATTATCACTGCCTTCATTACAGAATACCAGTTACTATATCCTATTTCACTTGTTATCACCTAATTGTTTTCTGTTATTCTTTAAATTCCGTCTTTTTACACATCAATACAAAGTAATGTAAATATTTATTCTCGGAACAGCCACCTTTTGTGGTTCATATTATCTCTTTATTATTTTTCACATGGCAATCAACCAACCTTTTGGCTGACAATGTGATAAATGCACGAGTTTAGAAACAAATACACTCAATTAAACTTCAGCACATACATATACATGAATAATTGCAGTCAACTGGCTAGACCGCCATCCGGTGGACGTTATCAAATTAATCGGACGTTGGTCTCTCAGCACAGACCTCCTAAATGTAACTGTGGTCCTAGAAAATTCTGTAGGCGACTGAGCACCGGTCAACGGAGTTAGGATGGGCCTCATTTCACCGTCAAAGAAACAGAACAACCGATTCTTGTAGTGAAACCAGGTAGCTATTTGGCCATGTAATCTACCCCTAAGATGTCCAGCTAGTCAAGGATGAGTACGAGGATCCCAAACGCATCTCAGTTGACAAGCAAAAAGGACCTCAGTGTGAATAAACAAAAATGAATGAACAGGAAGCCCGAACTACCTAAAAAAGAACCACTTACGGTTACACGGCTCATTCGGAGTAAGGACCTCAAGAACCAAAATCACCCAAGACTCCCAAGTGTAACGCTTACTAACACTGCCGACGTGGAGGATGTTCTGTTGGCTGCTCACCTGCCAAAATCAGATGAGGATGTAATAATACTGCCTGACATATCATATTCTGAGCTCAGTCTCATCAGAGACACACCTAAAGAATCTTTCCAGATGTGGAGGAAATATAATTATCCAAGCCGTATCACAAAACATGGACCCTGACCACGCACAATCTGATATTCGGAAATAGAGATTCATATAGAATTCCTTGAAATTCGAAAATATATCGACTGAACAAGTGGTGAGACCGATCAGGAAGGACGGGGATTCTAGACCCCGGCTAATAAAGATAAGCTTCACGCCTCTTCATATGGCAGCCGTCAGTCTCGAATCATTTCGTTACGACAGACGTTGGTTATCAAATGGAATCCACATGCATCCGGACAGACCATATTACGCAAGATCAAACACAAAAGCATCTTGCAGCTGACGTTACCACTTGTGAGCTGCCAAAATCATGGAAAAACCGTAGAATGAACATTGCCTACCAGCTTGGAAAACCCAGGGTAGGTACTTTGCCTGTCCATTCTCTTAGAGCTCGCTCAGATAAACAGGATGAGGAAACTCACGCGCAATTGCACTTAGGCTGCGTATTTACAAACGGAGAATTTCTGATTGTCAACCTCTTGCCCTTGACTCCCGTGGAGAGAAGCGACCACGCCACCATAGCCTTCAGTTTCATCGGTAAAAATGAGCTAAGACATTCTACCAACAACAGGCGCTGGCATTTCAAATAGTTGGATGTGTCAGCTTAACAGGACTTTCTGCAGCGAGCGAACTGCACATGATGTTATGTATTACTAAACAATCTGCTCTGCAAACCGCCCCCAAAGTCTACAACTACCCTACAGACATAAAGTGTCGTACTCTCCATTTCCTAAGACGCGAAAGTCACTATCGTGTGCAGTACAAACGAATTGGTAACAGCAGTTCATACTAGCGATTCAAACAAGTGGGGAAACAATCCACAAAGACAATAAGAAAAAATCGAATTCAACATCAGACAAAGCTTGTCAATGAATTTGACACCAAACCGAAATGCTTGTTCCATCACGCAGCTTATCTTCGGTAAGTCAAGTTCGGAGTTTCCTAATTGGTAGGTCCTAGTTGCCCAACCAACAATCACGGTGATGCTGACGACCTGCATGCAGAACAGTACTTCCAGACATTGTAACTGACCCATAATAACTATATTGATGAGAACTTCACCTGCAGCTCAACAGAACTGTCAGAAATGAACCTGAGCGCTGACTCGGTGTGTCGAGGACTGCAACACTTAAACAGAAACACTTATCCTAGCCAAAATATGGGTCATTCTGCTACACTGAGAGAAGGAGCTTCAATCTTAGAAACAGCGCCGAGCACGATGTTTTCACATTCACTGAGCCGAGTTTCGTTACCAGAAAATTGGAAGCCACCTCAAACCACGCCAATTTTCAAAGGAGGTCGACACAGCGAACCCTCAAGATACAGGTTGGTAACACCTCTCTCAATATCCTCAAAAATTATGAATTTCCTAATTTGCGATGGTATGCACGACCACTTACCATCTGTAACCTTCTCTCCACTCCAAATGCTCGGTTTCAGGAACAGCCATTCCTGTATAATCCGCCTTCTGACCTCGGTGGACAGATGAACAACCATCTTTGATCACATGGGGAAAATTGACGTCATTTACCTTGACTTCGCAAAAGCTTTTGATAGGGTCAACAATATACGTCTTATCAATAAGCTCAAAGCATGAGCATCAAATCACCTCTAATTCATTGACTCACTTCATATCTAAAAATCGACATTTTAAGGTTAGGGTTAACTTCGCTTTCTTTCAGCCTATGGGATGTCTTAGTGGGGTCCCCCAGCGTTCAGTACTAGGATTTCTTCCAATCTTGATTTATACAAATGATCTTCTACAACAGGTATCGTCTGACTTATTACTTTTTGCTGATGATGTGGAACTTTGGAGAGAGATACGCAACCAAGAGGACATACTGGCACTTCAGAAGGACCTGACTCAACTTCACAGATAACAACGAACTTACCAATTGCGGACTTTACACATTAGAGTGCAGGAGTCTTAGGGGTGACCTTCTAGTGACCTACAGAATCCTGAATACTTTTGGACATCCCCTTAAACACCTACTTATGCTTAGTCATAACACAAAACTTAGGGATAAAACCCAGAAACTGGAGGCACAACAAAGCAGAACGGACTGTAAGAAAACCTGCTACTCCTCAAGATTAGTCAAATTCTGGAAATCGCTACCGTCTGAGCTAGTCTAAGTGACTTCCCAGGAGTTCTTTAGAAGACTTGACCAAAGACGGTATCCCACTATAATTTACCAATTCCTTTTTCTATTTTGTTGCTAAATATACTTAAGTTCTGACCTGGTTACATCGATGATCCACTGCTACCAGATACGGCAGCCTGTTCAGCAAAAACTTCTATTCAGTCCAGAACCATTGGGATCATCTGAACTTTACCCCCCCCCAACCATTTGAACCATTTGAATTTGGTTCTTCAAGGTTACTGATATCATTTGAGATGCTTAATGTTAACGTGGGAGTGCTGGGACATGTCGACTCAGGAAAAACGAGCCTAGCAAAAGTCTTAAGCACTATTGCTAGTACTAGCGCGTTTGATAAAAATCCTCAGAGTAAAAAACGAGGTATCACGCTTGATCTTGGATTTTCCTCCTTTATCGTGGATTCGGCGGGCTACCCTTTTATGCCTTCTATACGCGAAAACTTCGAAAAGGTTCAGTTTACCCTTGTTGACTGTCCCGGGCATGGGTCACTCATAAAGACGGTTTTGTGTGGTGAGTTACCTTATTTTCGTCTTTATCCCGATCTTTAGATTTTGAGGGAAAATTGTACCAGGTTTATGGAAATTTTCAGGAATCTGCAATAAGAGAGCTTTGTTGAAATGCAAGGAAAACATAGAAGTTTTGTTTATGCCTGGTTGATTTCCCCAAAGTGGCTTGAAACTGGATAAATCCCCAAAACTTAGGGAAGATCTTCCTTTTTGGGTGGACCCAAAATTTCTCCAGACTTTGGGAAAAACTACAAATTTCTATATGATTTTGGAAAAGCTCAAAAATCGGAAATTGGGATACTTTACAACTACAGTCCCTCGATTTATCTGCCATTTTTTGCTGCAAATTAATTGTGATATTTACCGACTATGGGATTGGCAAGTATCTTTATTCCTTCAGAATCCTTAAAAATCTGAGGATAACCACTTTCGTTGTAATTTAAACTGTCGGGCTTAATTGTGCCCATGTACAGCTTTATACATACATAGAATCCTAATTAGGCCATCGTGTATCCCTGTATGTCGTCATACGTACAAAATATTTTGTTATGATGCTTAAGTTCAGGTAAACATACTGGTACCAAATGTTTTAGGTACCATACCTCTACTTAAAACAGTAAGTATTGAATTAAGGTGTTTTTCTTGGTTTCACTTTTTGACTCTTGTCACTCAGTGTTTGTATGAACACTCGCTATATAATGTAATCTAGATCGGAAAGGAAATTGAAGTGGTTATGTTGTACTTGGGTTCATGGTGGTGCCATCCCTTATGACTACTTTTTTCTCTTATCGACCTTGCAAACAATCATTGTCTCAATTACTGCATTTTAACTGAAAAACGTTAGTCTAAGTAGCGAAAACTACGTATTGACTGTACGCAAACGAATAAATGATAAATACAAGCCAAAATTTCTAGTGTGAATCATTGTAAGCCAAACAGCACTTTTAAGTATTGTGAATCTTCGGCTTTCTAAATTCAGGATATTTGGTGACTGTTGGCTGTAAAAATTTTAAGCAACCATACTATCAGATAGTTTAAATAGTAGTGAAACATCGACGAAACTATGTTAAGTGGTTGCTTGTTTACACTATTTGTGTTATAAAACTTCGGAAACATAAACGAACCGGTTTTTGCAGTGCTTTACTGTAAATCCAATTCATTCGTTTTTCTTGTTTCCGGGTATATTTCATATATACGGAGTATCCCATCCTTTAAAGGTAAATTTAAAGCTTTGTCACTAGATTTTACTTTTTAAAGCTAGTTTTTCTGGGCGAGTGGCTTATTCTCAACGATAGACTATAGTGTTATCATTATTATTATTCCAAATTCTAGGGTCCCAAATAATCGATATCGTCATTCTTGTTGTCGATGTCACTAAGGGTTTTCAAACCCAAACTGCCGAGTGTTTGGTGATTGGTGAGATAGCTTGTGAGAAAATGTTGGTTGTCCTCAATAAGTGTGATTTGTTACATGAAAATCAAAGGAACGAATTAATTCAGAAGGTATTGTAATTTGCTGTGATTATACTGCTCAAAGATGAAAAAGCGTATCCTAAAAACGTTGGAGAATACAATTTTTAAACAGTCGGAAATTGCAGAAATTTCAGCTGCTCCTGGTGGTGTTCAGGTATAATATCAATTATTTTCATTTGTACATGTGTAACATGTCTGCACCCTTCTCTCTTCCGAAGTCATTTCTTATCTAAACGGTTCTAAGATTATTATTGGCGCTTTTTTATCAGTCAGTCAGCTACAACGTAGGACCAGGCACATATATGCTTTTTGCCATTAAACTTCACTTGATAACGAGTTATCCAATTTATAAGTGGCGATAATCAAAAGTTTGTTAGGTGATAATGAGGACAGATATCTGCTTCATTAATATTCTTGTTCTTATGGTAGTAAAGAGTATTTTGTCCTTTGTTTTATCATTTCAATGCACGAGATTTTATTGGTTTGTATTATTTATTTTATCGATTGTTGCACTATCTTCATATTATGGTTTATTAAACAATCTTGGTGCCAGAGTTTCCAAATGTGGACTTGTAAATAGCAGTTTGATAGTTAAGTTCGTGAGTCAAAAACATTGAGATAATCGTAGACAGTTTACTCAAGGTTTATATATATATATATATGGGTCTGGACAGACTCTATACGTACTGAGCTCTGAGAATCCAAACACTGCGTCAGTGTTTCTTTCTGCATCCCTGTTTTATTCGATTTTTGTTAGGGATTTGTCTTATAACTTTATCGACTACCAAACATCCGAATAGGAATCACTTTTCCGATATATGCTACACGTAATTGTATTTTTATTTCGGGATATAAAAAATATCTTGTCTAACTGGTGATGTCAGGAAGTTTTAGCTTCAATCTTTGTTTAGCACTTTCATCTCAAACAAGAGTATATCATTAGTAAATTATTTATAGGTTTTTCAGTCGGAAAACTTCAAGCCGTATTCGAATTTCGAATGACTAAGGATATATGAAGTTGTTAGCCATCATTAAAAATTGATAAAACTAAATTCCGTACTAAGCTATTGTCTCCCCCGTTTATGGTGTTTAGTTGATTTCACCTGGAAAGAAAATTAAGTATGGACTCTAACGACATATTTTATAAAAACTTCACATATTTAAAGAATCATGGTTCTAATAATTTTCCTAACTATTGTTTCATTAAATTACTACTAGAATCAATTTCCTCCAAGCTGTAGGCATGGTTCATTCTTTGTTTCGTCTGTATTACTATATTATTCTTGTTTATAGTATATTTACCTTCGTATTTACCGTTTATTTGTTACTATCAAAAATATTTTATTTGATTCATTAGGCGGTACAATTTATAATTTGTGTAACAGGTAGAATTTACATCTGAACAACGTACAAACAATTCACAAGAAATTAAAAATCTAATCTCTTTATTGGCACGATCAATACATGATCCAACTGAGAAGCGTAATAAGTTGAAAGATATGGGTTTTGTATTTGCTGTGGATCATTGTTTCACAATTACCGGACAAGGTACCATTCTTACTGGAACTGTGCTATCTGGGACTACAAGTGTTGGTCAAGTAACTTGCACATGTTTGATATTTTATTTAATTACTAATATTTCAAGCTGATTTTATTTCATTTTACTCAAGTTAGTCATTTCTTCTACTGAATTTCAAACCCAAACTTTTGGTGTCCTTTATTACTTCTTATAACCGCTAAACAACATCGTATAACAAATCACCAGTCAGAATCCTGATTCTAATTTGCTTTTTTGTGCGTCTACTTTTTACTCTACAGTTTAATTTCTCGGATTTTACCAGTGCACGTCTGATCAACCCTATCAACCTTGATTCAACAGCTAGTCCCCTTTGGTTCACGATTGTCTAGTTTCTGTCTTCCCCTACCTTAAGATCTAAAAGTTATCAACCAGCATCTACTACATTGTATTTTAAGTAGACGTAGTCTGTGTACAAGCATATCAGACCACTTCACACCATGAAATGAAAACTAACAACCATACACGGTCGAGACAGAAGTGGTTTCGAGACTGAATAATAGACTGGGAACAAATTAGGAATAGTTAGCCATACAACAGTGGTTAATAGGTTAATAGAAATCTTATAATAAAGGGAATATGTGTGCATAGTAATCGGTTTACTCAGTAGTTACAGAACAAAGTTATAATTAATAATAGTTCGAGAAAACTAGTCCCATCTTTTACAATATCCGTTCCTTTAAAACATCTCACGTTAATTTTTTTTAGTTCTACTTATTTTTCTTGAACTTTTTGATCATGCCACCCGGTCGCTAAGACCAATACTAATCGAGTTTCTTTTCCAGGTCCCTCAAGAAGAAATATTCTTCCTCCTTATGGGCAGCCGCAAAGGGATAACTCTCTGCATGTTATCTTATTTATTTGAACATATAAATATTGGTACAAAGAGGTACTGAATACACATGCGCCACGCAAGTCACTTGATTTGTGTGTGGGCTCTGATACTGCTCGGGTGCCCAGACCGAAGCAGGTGGTTTACTTATGGGGCCACACCCGGAGCCTTCAACCTGAGGGTTTGATCCACAAGGTAGTGGAGCAATGTCATGAGACGCAGTCCCATGGTATCAGGTGACCAATAATTGGTTCATACGCTATTTTATCCCTCAGGTTCCCGGAGCCAGTCATGTGCACCACTGATTTAGAATCAGGGTTTTCCAACTCCCCTAGATAGACTGTCGTTGTCCACCAACCCGGTTGGAGCGTCGGACATTGGCTTTTCGTTCTGAAAATGAGGTTATCAAATACGACTACTAAATTTTGATGAGTTAATCTATCGATTAGCATAACAGGTTGTTGCTTACTTGTAGTAAAGCTTACCGACAACACTAACAGTTCCAATAGTGGTGCTTTTGATGACTGCCACTATTATTTAACTGTGGATTCGTTTGCGCGTCAGATGTTTCTTGATATTTCCGTTGCAAGAACTTATAATAATAGATTCGGTTAACGAAAACATCATTTAACACCAACTTCTGTACAATATCATCGTTACTAAGGCTACAAATTCACAAGGTTAAAGTCTACTCAATCATCCCGCTAGCTTACAAATTGAATAAAATCGTTTTGCAACTTACAAAATTGGCTACACGTCTCTGATGGTTTTAACTGAAAAGAATTTTCACTGCGTCCAACTGCAAAGTATTTTTTGGGCAATAGAAAATACTGCCAAAGAATATGGTAATACGACCACTCCTATTGGAATCACAACTAGAAACTTTGATGTAAAAACATGTCCTTTCATAAATCACTGCAGCTATGAAAGCTAGTGATCTGAGGGACAGACGGTGTTTTGAAGCTTTCTAGCGCCGGCCTGCTCGAATATCTGGGCAACCTGTTCATCCCATCTAGATATTTCAACAAGTTATTTTTTTTATTTCGTTTTTAACACATTTTTATGTTCCTTAGTCGCACAATCTATTATTATTACTAATCGCTTTATTCAATATTATATTTTCGAACAATGTAGAATCCTCAGCACGAGGTATTTCAACAAGTTTCCTTTGCAAAAGGACAAAAAAGTGGAAAAAGAAAAAAGCGAAAAAGATCCCAATCTAAACAACGTTTTAAGACTAGAAACATGTCTAAGAATACAGCTTATTGACTAAGTCAATTCTAACAACCTGTTCGTCACAGAGTATATTTACTAGATGAAGTATTATAGAACTTTTATACCTTTAATTGTGTGCGTGGATGTTAATGAAAATACATCTCGGTTTACCAAAAGATATACAAGGAGAAATATATGAATGAAAGGGACGGTTAGTATCTAATAAGATAACACCTGCCAGCAGTTTCAAGACCTTAGATGTATTATATCCTAGTGAAGATCTAACTACGAGTAACGTCTGAGACATATTAATGGACCAATCTTATTTATATACTCTTATGGTATAAATATTCAGTAACTAGATTATGTATGTCTATATTCCCCTTATTATAAGCTTCATTTTGACCTATAGATTATTATTGTACGATTTACTGTTTCTAGGTTATGCTCAGTTTATTAATTACCGTCTCTCACGTTCGCAGCAACTTTTTGGCTTTATTGTGTATGGATGTTATTTTCTATTTTATGGTGCGTTGCGGTCTGTTTGTTTGGTATATAAACCCAGTATATCTGAAGTAAATGATTCGATTCGATTTGCATAGTGGAGGCTGTTATTGGCATTCTGGACTCAGCTGGACGGGCTAGGCGAACATAGGACTAATAGGACACTAGGCTGCTCATACCGGTCGGACGTCACTGGTTTAGTACAGTATAAGAGCGAATAAGTCGTATTTTGATTGGCGAATAGATTACGTGATAGCTAGCGGCTCATAAAGTCACAACAAGATGTCTGTCCACAACTATATTAATAATGACCTCAAAAGATTCATCACACACCTTGCTAACTGCCTTCAGCACTCTCCGCAATACAGCAAAGCCTTTTTCTCAAACGCCCGGGAAAGAATAATGAAGAACAGTAAAGTATAGCATGAATTGACAAATTGTAAGACTGAATGTCGAGTAATCCCAAAAGCACATAGCCTCTTTATGTAGTAAGCCAGACGGAAAACTTTCTTCGATAATAGTAGAACATGAGAAGACCAAAAGAGATCAGAGGAAAAAGTAACAACAAGATAATTGACCTTCTACACTGTGTTTATCAAAGAGTCTCCAATGGCACAAACATTATGGGATCCCAACATGGTGTTTAGATGCCGTTCATGTCTCATGCTAAAATTAACAGCTTTACATTTAGACGGATTAAGTTGTTGGATAGTGCGTACTTATCACAGTCAGTCAGTCAGTCAGTCAGCTACAACGTAGGACCAGGCACATATGTGCATCGGTCCAGGTTGCCATACCTCATTAGCACAGCAAGATGAACAGCGGATTCATAGGAGTGGTTAGGTCAAAGGTTGCAATAAGGATATAGTATAGGAAGAAAGAATTAGTTCGTAGAAAGAAAGAATGAAGTGATTTTAGTCTCTTGGTTTAAGGGAAGACAGGGAGTGTATACACCGACGCCATTGTGATCGATTCTGAGCCATGTCACCAAGAGTCTCCAACCATTGGTTACGAAAGTCACGCGGACCCCAACCAAGTAGTCTGCATCTACCAACATGGCTCAGACTAGAAGTTAGTGTCTTCAAGCACTGATGCCACGTTTTGGTTTGGCCGCCCCTAACTTTCTTCCAACCATCCCCTACCCCGGTTAGCATTGCACGTCGTGGTAATCGGTGTTCAGGCATACGTAATACGTGGCCCAACCATCTCAGTCGATGAAGGTTCATAACCTCATCAACTGATTTACCATCATTACCTAATACCCTGCGTCTAACCTCACTATTACTTACCCGGTGATCCCAGCAGATACCAGCAATATTTCTAAGGCATCTGTGGTCAAATGCTAGTAGCTTACGGGTGTCTTCTACTCTTAGTGGCCATGTTTCGCTGCCGTAAAGTAAGACAGAACGGACTGCCGCGCAGTATACTCGTCCTTTTATTGATAGACGGATATCTCGCCTTCGCCATAGGTGACGTAAATTGGCAAAAGCCAAACGAACTTATTGAATCCGTGCTGAGATTTCGTCAGACACCAACCCATTAGGGCTGATCAGACTTCCAAGATAAGTGAAGTTGTCAACGCGTTCGACTACTTCACTCCCTATCCTTAGTTCAGGTGTTGACGGAGACCAGTCCTGAAGCAACAACTTGCATTTAGAGGGAGAGAAGCGCATCCCAAACATTCTGGCATTGTTGCTTAGTGCTACCAGAAGACTCTGCATTTTGTCAGCGTCTTCACCAAACAGGACTATGTCATCTGCGTATTCTAAGTCGATAAGTGGACCTCCTGGAAGGAGATCAATACCCGAGAATTCAGTCGACGAGAGTGTTATTTCCATCAATAGGTCTATGATGAAGTTAAACAGAAATGGAGAAAGTGGACAGCCTTGACGGACACCACTTGAGGTTGCAAAAGTAGATGACAGTTCGCCATAAGCTCTGACTCGACTAGTAGTGTTCGAGTAAAGAGCCTTCACAAGGTTTATGTACTTCTGAGGTACGCCTTTCAATGACAGACACTGCCACAGAGTCTCGCGGTCTACCGAGTCAAATGCTGCTTTTAAGTCAAGAAATACCACCATCGTCGGACGCCGATAGGTATGCCTGTGTTCTAGAACCTGACGAATGGTGAATATGTGGTCGATGCAGCCACGACAAGGTCTAAAGCCAGCTTGGTTCTCTCGAGTTTGTAGTTCACGAGTCTTAGTTAGGCGTTTGATAATTATCGAGGCTAGTATTTTAGATACTATGTTTGTTAAACTAATCCCTCTGTGGTTGTCACAGGATGATTTTGACCCTTTCTTATATATTGGGACGATAAGTGATTGCGACCAGTCAGATGGGATAAAGTCTAATTCCCAGATCTTAGCTAAAATATTAGTCAACTTAATCGCTAAAATTGGACCACCATCCTTAAAGACCTCTGGAGCCAATCCATCTGGACCAGCTGCCCTTCCTCGTTTCAGATTAAC